CTCTTGACTAAACAGGTAATGATAAGTAAGTATGTGGGGTTGATCGCTAAGAGGAAGAGGAAGAACACCAACACAACTTAGCGACGTTTAGAAATAGTTAGGAAAAGATTAAATCATTGCATTCCTAGAAATGGTTTCACACTCGTATCTAATTTCTTTGACATCACTTCAGAAAGTTTCTGAATGCTAGTCGGTTTCCAGCTAAAACAATTACAACGTTATTCCATGTGCTGGTTCATATAATCTTTTACCTTTTAAAAAGATCATGTTTGCAACAACGATGAGCAGAATTTTTATTATGAAATAAGTTGCTTTTGTTCAACAGCTGTGGTTTTCATTAACTTTTCAGGCATTGATTTCAGTCCAGCATGAGATACAAATATTCCAACCGGGTTTCAATGGAACACTTGCTCAGGTAAACTGTCAAATTTTCTTCGTGTCGTATTAAAGTTATAAAACAAAAAAACTTTGTTATAGTGGCTGACGTAAAGCATCTCAATGTACGTTGAAATACAAACTAAGCTGAATCCTTTTATCCCGGGTACAATTTGGCTGATGCAGTTTTATATTGTAAAACATTTTTTCACTTCCAACAATTCTTGTTCTAATAGGAATATCATTCGGTAATGAACCGTTATGTTTTAGGTCGGCGTATGGAATAACGTTTCCGAAGCGTCGGGCAGGTTGCCAGTCAACTTCACAACAAAACACGAAAAACTGGCTCTGAGAGTTGTTACTATTCACGTACGTATAAACAATAAGGTTTATCAAGACTTACAACAAAATTAAATTATTAAATTAAGTTATATGTATAAATATTGATTGTTCCACACAATATCCTGTGGAATTATCACATTTCATATCGACTTTTAGAAAACAACTGTCGATATCATCAATACACTATTTTAAACATATTTGTATAGGGTAAAGTTCTATCTTTACTGTCATTTAAATGATTCACAGTTGATGATCTTGTGTGTTCTCTTAGCACCCGCCCTACATATACAAGACAGCCATTGACGGTGTCATCTCCTATCGCGGGTACGCAGTTGAGTTGCTGAGTAAAATCGCAGAGGCCTCTGGAATACAGTTCATTATATCTGAGTGCACCACCACAAAGCCCTTTCTAGAGGCCACTGTATTCGCCTGGAATGAATGCATTACAGATATTGTTTCCGGGGTAAGTTTTAAAATTTATCCTATTTGACTGCATTCACTGTGATTAACATTATATGAAAATGATACGCTAGATTTAGAAAAACATCAATGCATATAAGGCGTTTGAAATATGGACTACTGATTTAACAAATACTTTGTATACGTCTATAATGTAACAAGACAGTACATATTGTTTACTGTTATTTTGTTAATTTCTTCAGAGAGCTGATATGGTTATTGGGCCAATTGGAGTGACTAAGGAGCGAGGAACCATGGTCGACTTCATCTTGCCGTATATTCAGTACGATAGTGTTCAGATGCTTACAAGGGCCAAAAAAGGAAGACGGTTTGACTTTTTGGAAATATTTGACCACTGGTCAATGCTCGTTTGGCTGAGTTGTTTTATTTTCACATCAGTAACATTGTGGATTTATGAAAATGTAATAAAACGGCTGGAAAGGAGGAAGAACCCGGATGTCAAGTACTGCTCCTTCCAAGACGTGGTCTGGTTTATTGTTACTAAGGCGGAATTTGAATGTACGTCGTTAAACTTAAGAAATCATGGCGTTTCGTTTGCTAACATCGTAACGATACTCCTTTTGTAACTGTTGTGCAGTATTGAATGATAATTAAACATCAAACACTTTTACAATAACGAAGAAATGTCACCACATTAGCGTTTCAAGTATTTAAAAAGAATTTCTCTACGCTTTTTGACGTTATAGGTGACAGTATATAGATGATCATCATATGGTTTATTCCTCTAATGTAGAAACAGTAGCTCGACCGTGGTGACTCAATCGCGCTGGCCACTGTATACAATGTTAAGTAATATGTGATGTTACTATTTTTTTAATTGGTTAAAAGTACAAATGACGTAAATACAGGAATATTTATTCGAAATATACAAGATAATGCTTGAAAGGTGTTTAGATTGTTATTACTGAACGATTAAAGTACTTAATAATGTAACACTATGGCTAATACTGTCTTGATTCACAGGTGACGGTATCCGGTTATCACGAACAAGTACTAAGTTAATGGGTTTCGGATTCTGGCTGCTGTCTTTCATCCTCCTTTCTGCTTTCACAGCCAATCTGGCTTCCTTTATGACCGTTTACCGTATGGACGACCTACAAGTGAAAGCCGTCTCTGATTTGGTGACTACAAAGGATGTTAAGTTTTCTGTAGTATGGGGTTCAGATGAAATGGTGTATTTTGAAAATATGATGAAAACTGAAGAAGCGTTTCACGATCTGTGGAAAAGCTCAAACCTCTACCCCGACAATAAACAATATGCCTTCAACGAGATTGTCTGGGACTATCCAGTTAGAGACACATTCACGAAAATATGGCAAAGCATGACAAAGACGGGATTCTTCAATAGTACATCCGAGGCTCTCAGAAGAGTGGCGGAAGGAAACTTTATTCTTCTGTCAAAAACAGAGACTGTGAAATATTTAATATCTCAGAACTGTGATGTTAAGTCGCTAGGGTCACCTATGGGCTATCATCCTGTTGGATTTGCACTGAAAAAAGATTCCAGCCTCTTATCAACTATGTCCAACAGGTAACTGAAACATACAATTGAATGCATTTGAGATTTTACTCTTTCATAATATACATCTAATAAAAAAGATGAAATGCCAATGTGAATTAGGTAAGTAAAGATAAAAACAAGATCTTACGACCGAATAGCCAAAACAAGCTGCTTTCCCCTTCACATGACTCTTCAGGGTAACTTCAAAAGGACATGTAATGGTGACGTCACGATGTTGTCATTTTGAAATAAACATGTGAAGGGTGAAAGCAGCCTGCTTTTATTTTCATTTGGCCATGATATCTTGTTTTTGTTTCTATATATATATTTATTATATATAAATGCTCAAAGCATAGGTGCCTTTAAAATTTGCCCGCGATTTAGTATAACTACTTCTATGTTCAAATACTGATTTCTCAACAAAAGTACAATAATTTCTTAATCCATAATTACTTTTTAGTTCACTATTGATTTATATGTTTTCCCTAACACGATTATTAACATGACCAGCTGTAGAAATGGCAAATATACCCAAAATAAATATAACCAGTCAGATGACCAGCTTGTATATCCCTTCGGCAAGACACTACGAAAGGCGCTGCTTCTGGCGGATTATATTTTATATGGCTTCCGATGGTATTGTCCATTAAATAGTATACAGATCATAAATTCTATTTGATTACAGTTTTATGGAAATACAACAGTCTTCTGATGTGGAGAGTTTGAAAAGAAAATGGTGGGAGAACAGAAACTTGCACTGCGATACTGGTGAAATCATACAAGAAATTGGTTTCACTGAAATTGGCTATTGGTTCCTGACCCCCGTATTCGGCATAAGTCTTGGAATTCTTATTCTTGGTATGGAGCGCATCGTCCGGTACAGGATCAGTAGCACAGCCAAGGTAAACATGATAACTGAAGTACGGGTTATGCATTGGAATATCAACGTTATCAATAAACAATATGTGATAGAAATAAATAATGCATATCAGGCACTATCTTGCAATCACTGTTTAGTATAAATGATTTATTTGGAATATTGCGTTTAACTTGATGAAGGACGGTGTAAATCCAGCTCATTAATAAATATAATGAATTATTATCCCAGATATTTATACTAACAGATATTTTGTCTATATTTTGCGGCAGAAGTACACCGTACGGAATGGCTATTCACGGACCCAGCACTATCGGGACAATGATGGTCCTGGAAGTACACAGGATACAAGTCTCCAAAACAAGGGATTTTCAGAAAATCGTCCTAAAAACTTAACGACTATGGTCCATGATACCAAAGACATGCCACATCTTTAAACAAAAGAACTGTGTTATATTTGAAACTGGTATTTCATATAGATATATCCCCATTATGTCATGTAAAATATCTTACCATTATGGTGTTTACATTTGTCAACGCTATTCCGTGTAAGATTTGTCACGGGTATAACGTGTAAATGATTTCCTGGTATGTCTTCTTTTATATATCTATACATTTTTTGCAATAAAGTGTTTCAATACAAAATGGAATCCTATTTAACTATTGTATACATACAGCAAACTGACTGCTCTACTATACATCCCTGAACCCTGTCGGCTATATATATATATTTCACTAAAAGACAACAAATCGATCCAGCACTATGATATACTCCTGCTGATGGGGTTAACGTGTCACCTTTGATTCGCTAACCAGAAGCCTAATCTACGTATCAGGATGTTTAGCATAGACGTGTTCTGTTCATCAACAAGGCATTTAACCATGTGTTTTCTACTTAAAAGGCTTTGATTTACAGTTGTTATCAAGGTCTGATTTCCGTCATTGCGATTTCGGTATCTTTCATGATAGAAGATTGCTTTTCATTGCTTTTCATTATTTTCAAGAATTTTTAACATGTACTTCTTGTAATGAACAAGGAGCAGAGCGAAATAGCAAGTATTAAGCAACAGTTTAGCTTATATCTACTGTTATCAGTGTCCAAATACGCGTAACATCAATTTTGTGATGAATACACGTTTAATAACACCCTGTGGAGCTGTATTTGACTGTAGATACCCATTGTTTTAATTGTGACGTCACAACTAGGATCTTTCTGTGGTAAGGACACCGCTGATGTCAAATCTATATAAGTCAATAATTATATACCTTCACGACCACATCTATTGCCTTTTATCTGACCTCGACATACACACTCGATCTTAACCTTCACAACAGCAAATTTGATCTTACATTGACGTACACGGTCAATAATTACATTCACAACCACATTTATCTTATCGTGACATATTCAGTCAATAACTACATTCACAGCCATATATATTTTATCCTACCGTGACGTACCCATTCAATAACTACATTCACAACCATATAATTTGTTTTACCTCGACATACACAGTCAATATATACATTCACATCCATATATAATGTATCTTACCGTGACGTACACAGTGAATAACTACATTCACAACCATATATATTTTATCCTATCGTGACGTACACAGTCAATAACTACATTCACAACCACAAATTTCGTTTTACCTCGACATACATACTCAATATTAGCATTCACAACCATATATTTTGTCTTTCCGTGACGTACACAGACAATATTAGCATTCACAACCATATATTTT